TTTATAATGGTAACATCAATAATGTATTTCCACTTATAAGAAGTGGAGATTGTTTAATAATTACAACAGTACAAAAAAACCCTTAGTAATTTGTGCGTTTCTATTGTCTGGAGAACTATAAATAGGATTTTAGACCCCCACAACCCTCCCTGCCCCAGCGTCCAGGTTGTGCGTTACGGCCCTGTATGTGCTGTCACAGCGCAGCACCCAGTGCTCCTCCTGCGGCTACACAGCTCAGATGGCTGCACAGATTTGTGACACTTAACTTAATATTAATAATTTTAATAGCGTTTAGTTGCGCAACTTTACGAACACGTTCATTCACGGCTGTTTTCACGTTTATTGCGCTGTTCAAATTAGTCTTGGTGTTTGCAGTTTTCTGGAGCGCATCGTGAAGCTCGACGTCATTCACAAGTAAATTGAAATTAACAAAGACGCAGCAGGACGGATCATCCGGGAAATGATGGACTAAAACTAACTGGATGTCAGACAAATTCTAGTGTTTATGTCTGCTTATTTGCAAGCCCAAATTCGCAACTTGCAACTCATTAAATCTGCAAGCGACTTTAGAAAAAAACAAGCCCAAAGCTGCTTCTAATAATCAGACTTGGCGAGCGAAACTCAAAATAGTTCCTGTTTTTCCAGCAACAAAATGCAAATCTCCCTCCATTGTCTACGTTTCTGTTGCTGTTGATACTGTCAACAGCAACAGTTGACAGTATAGAAACGGTGGTCGCTAAATTACAAAAGATAATAGTAACGCAAAGTGATTTCGATAAGTAACTGTAGTCTGACTACTGGATTTGAAATAGCAACGCGTTAGATTACTCGTTTCTGAAAAAAGTGGTCCGTCAGTAACGTCTTACTGACATCACTGCTTACATGTTATGACTGGACCTTAAAACAGGCCCTCCACAGGGCTTCAAGGCTTCAAACAGTCCTGTAGAGCTTCTTTGACTTCCTGTGATGACTTTCTTAGATATTTTCCTAACAGGCAAAAACCTCTGGACAATAGGTTTATAATTCAGAGTAGAGAATAACAAGATTGTGATCTGATTTCCCCAGAGGAGGTCTTGATTTGAAGACATATAAATCCTTGGTATTTGTATAAAACAAATCCAATGTCTTGGTTTTGCTGGTAGAGCAGCTGACAAACTGTCAGTTCTGCTAGAACTGAATAATTCTCAGAGTCTGCAGAGCTTTTAAATAATTATTTTAGGTTAGTAGTTTGTAACTATGTCACTGGAGTTGCTTAGTGTCACAGTCGGTAGCACTGTTGCCCTGCAGCAAAAAGGCCCAGGGTCTTTCTGTATGGAGTTTCTCTCAGGGTATTTCGGTTTCCTCCCACAGTCTAAAAACATGACTGTTGGGTTGGCCTCTCTAAATTCTCCCTAGTTGTGTGTGTGCATGATTGTTTATCCTCTGTCTCTGTGTTGCCCTGCGATGAACTGGCAACCTGTCCAGGGTGAACACGCCTATCTCCCACTGACCGCTGGAGATGGGCACCAGCACCCCTCACGTCACCACTAGGGATAAGTGTGTAAGACAAAGGATGGATGGATGGACTTTATTACTGCTGTTTTAAAGTAGCTACATTTTTGAAGCAAGATGGAACATGGTGAACATAGGATAATTTCTTATGATTGTGTTGCGTTTGTATTTACTATTTTTCATTTATTTAAAGCAGTATATTGAGCAGTGAAAAACCTCATGGAATGTTTATCTTTTTGTATGCAAAAGTAAAATCATTTTGGTGATTTATCCTGTTTGTCTCCCTCCCAGCCCTTGTCTTCATTTCCAGTTCCAAATGCAGACCATGGCATTTGGAACTAGAAATGCCACCTATTTCTAGATAATAAAAAACTGACCCTGCCGTCCTGTCCTAACCCCTAGAGCATTGCAGATAAGGATTCATATCCTCTACAGGTGTCTGGATGCCCTCTTTTGAGGCCTTTCTACCTCCACAGGATTGATTACGATGCCATAAGCTTAGCTCTCCTTTATTTAGGCAGTTTGGTCCATTATTCTTTGCAGTTCCTCTCCATCTCCAGAAGGGTGATTGGGAGACATCTCTGCATCTATTTTCAGACCTCTCCAGAGATGTTCCTGTCCCAGGTGTACCTCGCCTCTCACCCATTGACTGCTGGAGATAGACACCAGCATCTCTTCCAAGCCCAATAGTGACCAGGGTGTATGATAAAGGATAGATGAATGGATGTTCTGGAGCAGGTTTTCATCCTGGATGTTTCTGTATATTGGTGCATTCATCTTTCCCTCTATCTTGTCTGCCAGTTCATAATGTTGCAAGATATTGCCATAACATGATACTGCCACCCTATTAACCTGGCTATGAACCGTGCCTGGTTTCCTCCAAACATGATGTCTGACATTCACACCAAAAAGTTCAACCTTTGTCCCATCAGACCAGAGAATCTAGTTTCTCTTGGTCAGAGAGTCCTACAGGTTTCTCTGGTAAACTGGTGAGCTGCATGGCAAATGAGTATATGTGTGTAGAATTTTAAGGAAAGAGATTAAGTTAATACAATTTGGAATAAAGCTGTAACGTAGCAAAATGTGGAAAAAGTGAAGCACTGTGAATCATTTCTGAATCCAGTTTAAGCCCAGCTCTATGCAACACCACGTCAAGCCTTCTCTTTTAAAGTGATGACCTGGGAATAGAGTTACTGTAACTCTTTAGCCTTCTTTCAGGTTGGAGGCTGTATTTTTTTATTTTTTTCTCTGGGGTTTTCCATCTTGCTACTTTTAAAGTATCCACTGCACTACATGAATGGGAACAAGCACCTACAGTACTATAAATAAGTGAAAGCAGCCAAAGTCTAAGCGAAAGTGTTAAATATCTTCTGAAAGCCTGGACAACTACAGATCAAGATCACTTCATCAAAGAATATAATTTTGCTGATTTTCAGTGTTAAAATGACTTAGTTTTTGACTGGCAAGGTAGACATAAAAATGGATGGGGATTGACATGTCACCTTTTTAAACCCTGTTTTGTCATTACTTTATTTTTTTGTCCATCTTTGTTATTTGGGACCATTTTTACACATGTTCTCACAGTATGTATTTATTTACCCATCTGTTTTACACCTTTTATATTGATTTTTTTCCAGTGGGTTTTTAGTTGCACCAAGTAAACCTAAAGTTTTTAATTAGCAGCTTTTGTCCCAATAAACAAGTCAGACAAACTGCAGTTGCATGGATTTGGTAATATACATCATGGATTTCCACAGCATATTTCCTCTAACAAATCCTATGTGCCAGGTGATTTGGTTGTATTATGTTGGTTGTTTTGTGTAGGACTTGGCTCCAAACACAAAAAGTTTACTCTTTGTCGTAATCTCACCTGTCTTTATTTAATCTCTAACTGGACAAAACTGTCTAGTTAGTACTATATGTGTTCTCAACAATTGTTACATGTCAAAACACAATAATATTAATCAGAACACTGAGTTAGATCAATCTGTGCTGTACAGACTCAACTGTCACAATGATCTAATAGCTCATTACTCACAGCTCTTTTTTTTTTTTAAATCAGATTGTGGATGAGCTGCGTGAGCAAATCCTGAAGCTTCGCTTCCCTCACCGTGTTCAGAACAAAGAAGCAACACCAAAGGCCAAGAGGAAGACAGTGGGCCAGGTGTCTCCATCTAAATCTCCCCTGGTTCCTGTGGTCAAGCCTGCTCTGTCAGATAGACCCTGTGTAGTGGTCCTCAGCAAGCCTCTTGAGAAGTTGCTGATAAGGTTAGTACGGGTCATTTAAGACGTACTGTTTTTCATCAGACAATCTGATTTTAGCATAAAATGAACTTCTTTACAGGTATGAGAAACTGCCACAGGACTTCAGGACTCCATTTATTTTCAGCATGGAAAATTTCCCAGTGCCCTTCAACAGCACTGTGCCCCTCAGCATGGCAGCCAACCGAACAGCCTCATCAACTCTGGCCTCGCTATCACGTTATTTCTTACACCGGCGGTGGGTGTGGGGAGTACAGAGCAGCCATGGACCTGCTGTGACCATGCAGGCTGTTGCTCACATCCTGTCGATGCTCTCTGAGTAAGTTAGGAAATTTTGACATTTTAGTTACTTTTATAAAGTAAATTACAAACACCAAACTTATTAGAAAATGTTCATGTTTGAGGGCATTAGCTTAGAATGCAGTTTGATAACAGAGGGACATTCGTCAGCTAGCAAAGAATAAAGGTCCACTCTCAATCCACTGGCATTACAGGCCAAAACACTGTGAATTAAAGGAGTAAATGCAGTGGTCACATTATTTTATATACATAATAGAGTAACTACATATTTAATTAAATATTTGGAAAATATGCATATAAGTTTAAAACCAAACAAGCTAAACCTAAATAAAATTCTGCACATCATCTCTCACTTTACTGGTGGTTCCCTGGTGACCTTAAAGGGTGATATGAAAATCTTTTTTAACATACTTGTAGGATTCGCCTATCGGAAGGTTTTCACTTTGCCTCTAGTGGGGAGGGCATCATAAACATGGTGACTGAGCTGCCAATGAAGGTAAAAAACAAGAGCTGAAAGCCAAGTCATGATTAGTTTGTAATATCTATGATATTCATGTGTGATTTGTAACCTGATGCCTGTTCTTTTTGTTCTCATCTTTGTCATCAGATCATGTCAGGCAACAGAGAGCAGGAGAGTCACTCTTGTATTGTTCAGTACATTCTGTTTCCACCTCACTCAACCTTTAGCAAGGACAGGTATGACGGCCACTGATGTTCGACAGCATCCTGTTCGGTTGTGTTTTGGTTAAGGTGGACCAGCAGTGTGACTTTGATATTGGCTCCATGTCATCAGAGCAGCCTTTCAATTGTAAAACATACGAGTTGTTTTCCCACTTATTGCAATCTTCTTGGCACTCCAGCTTTTCTACAGATGATGACAATGACACAGAGGTGGAAGCTGTGGACATGGACTCAGAGCTTAACCTGGTGACAGAATGTTGGGTAGAACCACAGAGTGGCTCAGTGATGAACTGCATGGACCAGCATCGACATTTCCAGGGCCTCATATACCAAGACATTCCACAAGCTGTGTGTATTACCTATGGAACAGCATTTGAATAGACTGACTAAATCTTTGTGTGCATATAGTTGGTTGTTGTTTTTTTTTAATTGTCAGCATGTAAGATGCCAGCATGCTTTGTTCAAAAAAAAAATTTTTTTCCTAGATTTTCCCAAGGGATCTGGCATGCATGTCCACCATGATGACATTTGAGTATTTAAATCAGCTGTGTCAAAATAAGGACCAGACCTGCTCTCTCCCCACTGCACACAAAGAAGTCCAAGGTAACAAAGGAGCACCTTAAAATGAGACTAACTGTACTTACCGCACCATAGAGATGTTTGCCCCTTAGCCGGCATTTTACCACCGCTTTCACAATTTCATACTAAAAATGTATCTATTTCCATTAACTTATATTGTTTTCAGAGTAAGTGCCGTTAAGCACTTATTATTGGGGTGACTGTGGCTCTGTGGGTAGCGTCGTCGTCTTGTGATCAGAAGGTTGTAGGTTCAGTTCCAGCTTCCTCCTGCCACATATCAATATGCTCCTGTGCACTTAACCCCAAATTGCCTCCCGATCTGCATATCAGTGTATAAATGTGTGAGCATTTGAGTGTGAATGTGACTCTAGTGTAAAGCAATTTGAGTGGTCAAAATGACTGGACAAGCGCTGTATAAGTTCAGTCCATTTACCATTTAAACCTAGTTGTGCTGAGTGAGTTTTTTTTGTGCATTGATCAATGAATGTGCTGTTCTTTACAGGAGATGTAACATTATCTGAGGACAGCATCCAAATGGTTCCCTTCCAGTTTGATCTTATCCAACTTCTTCCAAGTTGTCAGCAGGTTGAACTCTTCTTCCTCACATTCAATACAGGTACTGTATCTATTTGTCTTTCTCTCCTCTGTACTTACAATTGACATTAATATAAATTCCTGTGAATACATGCATTCCACAATATTTGTTTTATTATTATTATTATTACTCCTTCATTTATACAGGAACATTTCTTGAGACTCATTAATTTACAAGAGAGACCTTACATACATCACCAACTGTTTTCTTTGAAATGTTTCTGCTCAGGTGTGGCGAATGAAGATCTTATTCATAGCACCTCCAGTCCCCCCAATGAGCTCCTCCTCAGCCTCTTCCACACCAGCCTGGAGCAGGAACTCAGTGACAGAGAGATCCCGTTAGCTGCAGCTGACTGTTCTGCCTTTGTGAATCACATTTTAGAGCGAGAGAGAGATGACCATATCCCTCCTTTCTCTTCGTCTCTTATTAAAGGTTTGTCTGTTTCCCAAGCCTAACTGATATCTTAGTCAATGTGGACGGCTGTGTAAATGTTATACTTTACTCTTCCTTTGAGAAAACAATGAACATTATGTTATTTCCTGTTTTATCAGATTCAATATGAATTACACAAACTTCTTATCTAATTGTATCTGTTCTGTTTGTGCTTCAGAAGAATGTGTTAAACCTACAGAGAGAAAAGACACCATTGCTGGCAGCAAGGAGGTCTTGGGATCTACAAGCACTTTACAGGTATGTAATCTCATGCATTCTTATCCATATTCAGTCAGATTTACCTGGAGGGCATTTTAGCTTTTCTATTCTGTCGAATACTAAGGCCAAGTTCTTTTAACTTCAAGACTCTACGCATTTGGCAAAGCCTGATATTTTACACCTTGCCAATATTTATTAAATGAACCAAATTGTAATGTGTATAAAGATCTCTGTTTTATCTTATATTTCTATGTCTTAATTTATACACAAGTCTTTAAAATTTCACAAAGCACTCTTCTCAGGTTTGGGTGTTGACTAGGTCATTGCAAGATAATTTATTTTGAGGCATTCAGTTGCGTAAAGTAAGTATTTGACAGATGGTATATTTAACTGTAGAAAACTTCATTATCTTGAGATTTTTTATCTGCAGGAAAAGCCCATTCCATCAGCTCTCTCAATTGAAAGCATATGTACAAAGAACACATTTACATCAGACTCCCTTTTTTAAATTTTTAAGGACCAATGGAAAATGTGATGCTGTCAAAGGAGAATTCAGTTAACAGTTGACAGTTCTTGATGCTGGACTCATTGAAATAACTGACCACACCTGCTCAGTAATTTTCAAAGAATTTATCTCAGAACTAGGGTTTAAAACATCATTTTACATACAACAAATCATTATTTCAAGAATCTTTACTTTGGTGTAATTTTTCTATAGGATCTTGTTCCTGACGTTGTGTTGCTTCTTCAGATGAAAATGAAAACTAATTTATTCTGGTCTGTCCTTTGTAAAAGTAAAAAGTGTTCTCGTAACTTGAGGAAACTTATTTTTCTGTCTATAATTTTATCAAAACCTGACATGAATATGTACCTCTGTTTTTTTTTTACCTATTAACATGTTAAATTTGCTGCTAAATGTTGTCTGTTGTACATCTCACTGTAGAAGAATTGAGCAAAATAGTTTGGCAACAAATTTGAAGGCTGCTCATTCTTATAATTGTAGACGCTTTAAGGACATAATAAGTTTCTTTTACACATTTCTTCAGTGATATAGTGTAATAATATCTTGTGGTTTTGGTATAACAATTTATTCAACATAATTTTAAAACCTAATAAGTACAAAACAATGTTTATGCTATCTTTATGAAGAAATTTAATGGTTTAATGGGATAGGCTTATATTTTAAGTTCCTGAGATTTTTACCATGATTGTTTTGTCATGTTAGAAAGAAGTTGCACCCTTTGTTCATGTTTTTCAGATCAAGATTTGATAAAAAAAAATGTTCTGGTATCTACCAGTCTCAATGACTATATGAATTCTGCAAGTGTAAAAAACATTCAAAAACAATATGTTTTCTATCTTAGATTCCACACGTCTCAGCTGGCATGTTCAGTCTTAAACTCCATGACAATTCACATAGAGTATAATTCAGCAAGAATGGCGTGTTTGGAAAGGTATCTCAGAGAACCTTTTTCCCTTACACTAGCGTTTCTCAATGGGGCATTCAGAGGACGGCAGGGGGCACTGGCAGAAATATTTACTAAAGGGTGCGCTGCGATTCCGTTGGGGGGCGTTTGCTCAAAGGTAATCTTTGCCCCTCATATGCACAACAATACCAGTTTAGACTTTGAGCTACTTGCTAAAAACTGAGGTGTGTAACATTAAATCATGCTGCAACTGTATCAATGGTAGCTCTTCTCTTCAGTGTTTCTGTTAGCTTCTTGGCGCAGCTCTGCCCTCCTGATACTGGTAGCTTCACCGCATCAGTTCAGCATTACATTGGCTAACGGCCCCGCTGTGATTCACTTGTCAGGTTATAGGTGTCTGGTTTTCAAATATTTTATGTCCTAAAATATTTGAACAGACATTATTTTCAGATAAGAAGTAAGATAATATTGTTGAAATGCCATGGGTTTGATGAGAACACATATAGTACTACTTATTACTTAGTTATGTTTTTAATTAGATTGTATTTTATATATTTATTTCTTCAATATTATTTTTCATGTCAGTGTTAATGTCATGAGGCTGATGACTCCATGACACTTTCAATTTGACTCATTAGGATTGGATTAAGAACCAGATTTGTTCTTTGTAATTTCTATCAAGTAAAATATTAATCTATAAATCAATAGTCAGGTCTATATAAAGATATAATCCATGTTTCTGTCTCATATTTCTATGGCATTAAAAGGATCTGAAACTTTTGTTCTTAAAGCACTGGCTTGCACAGTAGGTGAAATTTTATGGTTGATATGTCCCATTCTCCTGAAGCAGCACAGAGCTGCACCACCAGAAACTGACAAAAACGCCTAAGAAAAGACGAGTTATGATTGATATTGTTACAGTTCTATCCATGTTTTAATGTTGTAGAGCTCAGTCTTTTTTTAAATAGTTCAAAGTTTAAAATGCCATTGTTGTACATCTTTTATCTAGTCATTTTGCAATAGTTAACAACTAACATCAGAAAATGGCACAAAACAAAAAAGTGTTCTACTCTGATTGGCTGCTGATGAGCCCATCAATTATAAGTTGAATACCCATTGCATTTTTCTTAGACACCTTTAAAAATGATTTCTGTTCACATGGCTTTTTTGTTCTTTGGAAACTAATAATTCATTAATGTGTTTCTCTTTTAAGGATTTTTAATGACACATACAGAAAATAAAAATCAAGATGGCAACAATAATGATAGTAATATTAATCATAAAATAATATTCGGTGGATAATGGATAATAGATAGGAGGGCACTGGCCCAAAAAAGGTTGAGAAACACCGCCTTTGACAAACAATTATGGCAGCATAATTGTTCAGAAACACAAGATTTCTGAACAATGTAATTTGGAATGATAAGTCTAAAGTATGGATGTTTTGACTGTACTGCACATAAGGAGAAAGCCAAATAGCCTCCTGACTACCAGTAGTTCATTTTTGTCCTCTGTAGAGGACATTTCTAAACTTGAATATCTCCCACCCCCTGCATTCTATTGAATTAATTCCTTTTGGTATCTAGAGAGGACATTTAGGGCTTTTCAATGATACCACATGTGAAGGGGTGGGACTTTTGTACGTACCGTTTTCTAATTTATAAAAATGGCGTTCATCAGTAATAACACATTTTATGGGAAGAGACAAAGTAAGTGCATAAAACCTTTTATTACCTTACAAAGACTGTGGGATTTTTTTTTAAAAATGGTAATTGGACAATATTTTTTTTCCTGGTAGTCAGGAGGATAGAGCATAGTAAATTGTCTCAAACCATCTGTAAAGCACAGCGGTGATCATTTGTTTTACAGCTTCAGGATCTGGATGAATTTACAGACTTTATAGAGCACAGACTGGTAGGGACATTGGGTTAAGTTGCTTCAGGTGCCTTGCCCACATCAACATGTGCCTGAAGGAAGTTGGATTCAAACTCACAATTTTTTTGAAAGGCTATTTACTCTATTCACTGAGCCACAATGTCCTGGGGACCTCAGCACACCATAAAGTCTGTGTATTAAAGTTATTTTAAAATTAGATGGTGTACCATAGAAGTTTGTCTAAAATCGAATGGTCAATATAACAGAGAACCCAAACACAGCAGTAGATCTGAATTACTGAAAAGGAAAATAATATTCTTAGAATCAAAGAGGGTGGGTGTAGTTTCTTTTTATATTTTATATTACTAATACGTTCATCCCTGGGTGAACGTATTAGTAAAGGGAAACTTTGTTACTGTTGTAACTAGTCTTTAATGGAATACGGTAGGACCAACATGTACTCTTGCAATGGTGTAATAAACATGGATTTTCAGAGTTTCAGTAATGCAGACCTTGTTGATGAGGAACCTCTGCTGTTAGAAAGAAGCTCATTCGTACCACAGTGGAGGTGCTATGCCAAGTACGTTAACTCCCAGCAGCTCCTCCTCACATTCCTTCCTGCCACCTTTGCAGGTACACTTATACTTTATTTTTGTGCACTGAGAAAGAAAACACCTACATTTTTACTTTAAATTTGGGATTAGATGTGTGGATGAGGTATAATGTGCATATTATATCTACTTGTCAGACGTTCTTATGTTGATGGCATCAACATTGGAGACTGAGCCTAGAAGTACTGTCAGTATGCAAGAGGATGATACCTTGACTCCCAGCAATAAATCTCAGGCAGACTCCCTGTCAGGTTCCACCAGTGGCCCTGATAAGTCAGAGTCTGGCTACAGCCTGGTCTCTAAACTGCACAGGAGCTCCAGCTGTGGCAACTTCTCAGGCAAGTCGTCTCTCCTTACATCTCCATCTGAGAGCCACACTGGGCCTATAGACTTGCTGCATGTGGAATCTGAGAGTTTGGACAGTAGACTATCTGAGACAGATACTGGGACATCATGCTCAGGTTGGTATTTTGATCAAGCCAGTGGTTGTGATAACATTGCTGTAGATTAGTTCAAAATGAGCCAATTGAAGGAATAACCAATGTCTTAACACACTCAAACATGACCATAATAGTACTTAAACTGTTCTAGATCCTGGAGGAAAAGAAGGAGTCCAGTTTTCTGAACCACAGAAGGATGATTTGCGCATCAGTTTCAGCAGGCAGGTTTCCCAACAGAGCACTAGTGACAGCAGTCATTTAAGGTGTCCAGTTTATGTCTACAACTGCTCACTGGAGCACCTGAAAGAGCAACTAATACACCCTAACTCAAGTTGCCAACCTAAGGACATCTTTTTCAGGTAAGGAACTTACTTATTATAGGACTGTTCATCATATAGCAGAGACCAAACTGAATCAGCTCATATCTGATATGAATTTAGTTACTATAAATACCACAAATTCACACACCACTTGCAGTGCTATTAATTGGGTGAAGAGTAGTTTAATCTGTAATGCTAAACTGGCTTGGAATCAACTTTGATGTACTTTTTACTGGTTAAAGTTAAGCACAGTCACAAACAGATTTGGGTTTCCATGCCGACTCCAGTAAACCACTGGAGTCAGCAGTTTGGAAAGGACGTACCAGAAAATCAGAACTGGACAAAACAGCAGTGAAAGATTGTTGGCTGATCTCATCCGTTTTTTTCCGCTTATCTGGAGTCGGGCCTGGGGGTAGCAGCCTAAGTAGGGAGGCCCAGACTTCCCTCTTCCCAGCAACTTGGGCCAGCTCCTCCGGGAGAATCCCAATGCGTTTCTAGGCCAGCTGAGAAATATAGTCCCTCCAGTGTGTCCTGGGTCTTCCTCTGGGTCTTCTGCATAGAACACCTCACCAAGTAGTCATCCTAACCAAATGCCCGAGCCGCCTCAGCTGACTCCTCTTGACGTGAAGGAGCAGCGGCTCTACTCTGAGTCCCTCCCGGATGATCGAGCTTCTCACCTGATCTCTAAGGGAGATCCCAGACACCCTACGGAGAAATCTCATTTTGGCCACTTGTATCCTTGATCTCGTTCTTTTAGTCATAACCCAAAGTTCATGTCCATAGATGAGTAGGAGTGTTGATCGACCAGTAAATTGAGAGCTTCGTTTTTTGACTCAGCTCTCTCTTCATCATGACAGACCGGTACTGCGCCCGCTTCACTGCAGACGCTGCACCAAACCACCTGTCGATCTCCCACTCCATTTTTCCCTCATTTGTGAACAAGATCTTGAGATATTTAAATTCCTCCACAGGGAGGATGTCCACTTGGGGCAGGACATCCTCCCTGACCCGGAGAAGGCTCTCTACCCTTTTCTAGCTCAAGACAATGGCCTTGGGTTTGGAGGCACTTATTCTAATTGTGGATGCTTCACACTCTGCTACGAACCGCTCCACTGAAAGCTGTAGACACGATGTGATAAATTAAGTAGGACCACATCGTCTGCAAAAAGCAGAGTTGCGTCCGAACCTAAACTGATCCCCCTCAACACCTTGGCTGCGCCTAGAATTTTTTTCCATAAGTAATAAACAGAATCTGTGAAAAAAGGGCAGTCTTTACGGAGTCCAACTCTCACCAGAGACAACCTCAATTCACTGCTGGCAATGCGGACCAGACTCTGACACTGGCCATACAGGGACCTAGTAGCCCATATCAAAGGGCCCGGTACCTCCTACTCCTGGAGCACCCCCTACAGGACTCTGAGGGACATGGTTGAAGTATGCGAAACCCATGTGGGCTGGTTGGACGAACTTCCACAAACCCTCCAGAACCCTCCAGGGTGTAAAGCTGGTCCAGTGTTCCACAGCCAGGGCGAAAACCACACTGCTCTTGCTGAATCCAAAGTTTGCCTATCCGACAGACTGTCGGATAGGCCTGAATTGGCCTGGTCTGCCAATTCAGGCGAATTGCCCCTGGTGTCCATGCAGTATTGTAGAGCTGTGTCAACCAACACAGCCCTACAATATCCAGAACCTTAAGAAATTCTGGACAAAGCTCATCCACCCCAATGTCTTTCCACCTTGGGGCTCAAGACAATGGCCTTGGGTTTGGAGGGACCCAAACCCAAGCCCATGAATCAAACAAAAGATTCATGGCCACCTCTGGATCAGCGATGTGCGGTCAGGGGAGAACTCTCCTGTAATCCTGAAAAATAAAATGGATGCTAATAATGATGAGAGAACATCAATTTTTTTGTATAAATTAGTTTTTTTATTTGTAATGTCAAGAACAGTGATTTTTTTTATTTATGGCAACAGTTTTTTTTTACATAACAGTTAAAAAAATACAAGTTTGAACCCAACAAAAATAAAATGATTTAAGAGCCACATTTACAAGGTCTTTCCACCTTGGGGTGGAAAAGGTCCTTGGGGTGAAAAGGTAGAAAGACCTTGGGGTGTAAAGACCCCAAGCTTTTTAACCACCTCAGTGCCTCTTCTGATTTGTCTTATCTGACAATGACATGTCAGCAACATGTCTACCCACTCCACAATTCATTTGGAAAAAGGAATTCCAGATGAAGGAATTCAAGTGCTCTTTGTAGATGGTAATCTTTCCCTTGCAGGCTTTTTTGCTATGTAATGCTTTTTCCATGTGATATTGGGTGACTGTTTTCTTTATTTCTGCCCTTAAAGCTTTTTGTTTTTCTCCTTTTGCAGGTCATTATCTCAAGACCGCAACAGTCCATCCCCCTGGACAGACCTCCTGTCTCAGCCTTATAAACATAAAGAGCTTGCTAATTACTGCAGCCTGCTCCAAGAACATTACCACCAGAGTTATGTTAAAGGTGACTTGACTTTAAATTAGGAATCCTCAACTCCAGATCACAAGGGCCTGTGTCCTGCAGGTTTTAGATGTGTTTCTGTTTCAACACACCTGAGTCAGATAATCAGGTCATTAGCAGGACTCTGGGGAAATTGGCCTGGTCCTAATACTTGCACTTCCACCCTTGTGTCCTTCAAATGTATGTTCATGTTGAAGGGTTTAAGTGCATAATGTGTCCCAAATCTCCATATCCGGCCTTTGCCCTATCCCTTTTGGATCCTATATCTGCACTTCTGCTAAGCCTGCATCCAGCGGACTTTGTCAAATTGTATTACCCACAATTCAGGCGGAATTATGGCAGTGTTTTTGTCTTTATTTAAAATTCAAAGAAAATGGTATGACAAGGCGCACATCAGTAACAAAAACGTTTTATAAAAGAAATAAATAAGACAAAATAAGAAATAAAGATGAATAGTCACAAACTAACTGTGAGGAAAGTAAAACAGAAAATGCTACAAATGCAAGAGGAAACCTGCAAGCAGCACTATCGACCCTTGCAGCTCAGCTCCGCTCTGGCCTACCTGTGACTGTGGGAGCTGTAGCACTGCAAACCCTGGAATGGAATTTGCTATTTAGCCACGACATGCTCTAGCCATCAACTAGTGTTGACAGAAGGATTTAGTCTCATGTTCAAACAGTTAAGAATTGTAACAGAAAGAGGACCAGCAGGAAAACAGGTGACTTCCTTTTCAAAGGGCGTGGAGCCAAGGTGTTTTCACCAGTTGACTAAGTGAATGTGATGAGTGCTTGTTGATTATGACAGACATAACGTTTCAGATCGCTGGACGCTTATGTGTGGAAGTTATTCCACTTTGATGTCTTATGGCAAATGCTCAGACTTTAGGTTTGACCACGCCCACATTATTTTATGTAGGAAAACAAATTTGCTAACTATTGACCTTCAATGCCTCAACACTCTGCTGAGTGATTCTGAAGTCGGTATGTGAAAAGCTGTAGGAGTTTACCCAGATACAGTGTATTTAAAAAAGACAAAATGGTGGTTTTGAATGAAAATAGTTGACTTCCTGTTGACTTTGGACCATGGCTCCAAGAAACTTTTGTAAGCCCTGTTAAGTGTACCAAATTTTATGATTGTTAAAGCATGGCTTGGCGCTGATTTTTAAAAAAGATTTCTAGGGGGCGCTAGAAATCTTTTTCTAGCAAATTTGGACTGCATCCAATATTTGAATGCAGTCAAGTATTGGACTGCAATTTGATTGATCATAATGAGTTTGATGGAGCTCAGCTGAAATATGTGTAATTTGGCACCAAATGTTTGTCAACGCCGTCACCTCTAACTTCGTTGTGCTACCACAGTATCACCTTCCACCGAAAACTCTTTGCACTTTAAAGCAATCAGACCAACTTGTCATCCATCTCCTGACACAAAATCTTCTTGATTTGCTCAAGTGGGTCTGGAGATGGAGTTTTCCAAGAAACAAAGGTGACTTCTAGTTCTGAGGGGCTGGAGCTTAGATGATTTCAGCATATGACATATGATATGATTGTTGGGCATCCCAGCTGGATCACTCATACCAAGTTTGGTGCAACTTGGCCATTGTATGTGAAAGTTAGTGTTTTGTTTTGCTTTGGCATGTATGCCAAGTTCAGCGTCTGGCCGCAGCACTTAAACATGCTCAAAAACTCACCACTTTGATTATTTTTAATGCCCCCTGTCCGTTAACTGCATATTGACCAAAAATAAAGCCAATAGCTCAGAATCCCTAGGAGAAGTTCATTAAAGATTGAGGTGTGTAAACTTAAAAAATGGCCAAAATTTGCCCTTTGACCCAAAATAGTCACCCCCCTAAAATATGCCCTAAAATTAAGGCACATTTTAGGCCCCCAGATTTGCAATTTCTGGTGGAATAGAATAATAATAAAAAGAAGAAGAAGAATTTCTTCAGATACACTAGACAATGTTAATTATACAGTTAGTATGTTGGTATAAATATGGGGCTTTGTAATATTACAATGTTTAATAAGCACTTTCCTAAGTAAAATTTAAAAATTATGCTTTAAATGGAGGCAGAAAGCAGCATTGTGAATAAAAATGTAGCTAGAGAATTGAATTGTTAATATAATTAAACTCTTCGTCACCTCTTAGAAGACCAAATTTTTAAAAAATGGAATAATTTCTTGCACAAGATTCAGTTATAAAAATCTTTCTAAAAATATGAACACAGTGCCAGTTGAAAAAAGGTGTTTTCTCAAAATATCAGTCAGAAAACGCAGAAGAATTGATATTTATTTTAAATTTCTTTTGCAGAAAGTCGTTGTAGGGAAAACTTCATACATAATCACGAAATTAATTTCTTACATTTTTTTGTGGGTGTGAAATAAGAAGAGATTTGGTTATTTTCATGATTTTTAAACAAATACAGACAGACGTTTTCTTCTCAGGGTGAAGAGGAAGAGATCAGAGATTTCTTGTCACATGTTTGTTCTATGAAGCCTTTCTAAGGTTTTTTTAAGAAACACATTTTATCTCATTAGTCTTTCTTTTTCACAATGTAGCATTAGGCCTTTTTTTCTATTTTATGTGTGCCATATGTTTGTCTTTAACTTGATCTTTAGCATATTAGCTCCACTTTATACCAAACTAACTTGTAACTGCATAAACGTTAGTATGTAATCGTATATTTAATTAGCCGAATTGCAGACAGAATTTCCTTTAAGACTGTTACATTGAACGCTGGTAAATTTCAGTGTATATTGTTTGACACCATCATACAATAGAAAGTTGCCATCTTGGAAATATGGCAATGTTCACCAGCAAAAAACAAAATCACTTTTCAAATGTAAAGTATTAAATGTTTGAATAGATCAAATTTTGCTCTGTATTCAACATGTCATAACAAAACACATATGAACAGCCAAATATCTCCAGCACTGACTTTGGAAAGCTAAAATATCTTATTGTACATTTAAAATCTATTTTTTGTTGTAGTTGTACTTTTTAGCAGCACAAATGCCTAAACAAGTACCAGTCCCACCATCTTGGATGTCAAAGTTCTGACACAAGGGCGTTCTGTCCCATTTCTCAAATTTTTGAACGCTTGTAACCTGCACACTCAAATGCTTTTGCTCACTTTGACCGAGTACACACTACATAGACGGGCATGGGATGTTGCAATTACCTTCTAAATATTTAATTGAGGTCTGTTGAACTAGAGACGCATCTAAGAGTTCCACGACACCGACCCTTGAGGCCTGGATTTGAGGATCCCTGCTTTAAATGCTTAGCTGCTCAGCTCTAGGTTGGGCACCAGACTGTTTCCCTGAACCTTTTCACCCTGAGTACATTCTGAGGAACGTACAACATTTATTTATTACCTTATCAGTCGATCATTAGGTCGATTTGCCTAATCGACCTAATGGTCGATTAGGCAAATCTCCAAGGTAATGCCTGTGGGAGTTTTTCTATTTCCATTAGGTATTGATAGATCCAGAATGGCACAAAAAGGCAATACAATCAGAATAATAAAGCAATAATCTTACATGTGTACATAGCTGCTGCAGTTTAAGTCATACACAAAAAATTTGTCCAAATATATAGCAGACTATGTATAATTGGAGTGTATTCCTATGACATCTACCACGTCATCATGGTTTGGTCCCTTTGTGTCTCAGGTGTGTTCCGTAGCCTGCAGCAATCCTACAGCATAAGCTCCCAGGACATCCTCATGGCAATGGATTATTGTGAAGAGTCGCTGCAGGAGATTGACGTCACAGCTTTCCTAAAAACTCTCTGTGGTCACATGCGGGTTTTTAGGGAGAGTGGCAAGACCCAGAGACTGGGAGGAAGTCTAAAACTTTTAAGGAGACCTGCCACCTTTTGTGTTGGAGAGGTTCAGGAGGAACGAGCAGAAACATGCAGGTGAGTTCACCCAGTTTGAAATTATAAAGAAAATAAATGGCAAATGTTTTTGAGACGTCACTAACATTTTAAACATTGTCTTTCTTGTTACATATTAAAAGAACAAAAACTAGCATGTGTGGATTGTAAACTGTCAGCTATGTTTAATCTAATAAGAAACTCAAAGGTTTAATTTAGCTCAGATTTGCAAAAGTAATACAAGAAAAATTAGATTAAAGTTGATCTGTCTGTATAAGTGCACAGAACCAAAACAAAAGTGGCTGATTAGCACAAACACCTCATGATTTGCAAACTTACATTTTTTTGGTGGAGGACTGATGTATTCCTAACAGAGCACTTGACTCTCAGACTGCAGACTTACTGGTGGTTTCCAGAATTCCAAAAATTAGAATGAGAGCCAGATTTGTAAGTTATCAGACACCTCTCCAGTGCAATCAGCTTCCAGTTTTAGTCTGAGTTAGACACCCTATCTACTTTTAAGACTAGACTTAAAACTTCTCTTTTGAAAAGGCTTATAAGTTAGTCTGGCTTGGGTTATCCTGAGCTATTTCTGTAGTTATGCTAACACAGGCCCAGGTTACTGGAGAACAAACTGCCCGCTTTTTCACATTTTCTAGGATCCACCAGTAAAGCTGCAGTCTGAGAGCGAAGACATTTATGGAGCTCCATTTTGCTCCATGTCCTTTATGTCCAAGCGACTTGTATGTTTCTTTTATCCTCAAACCTTTTAAAACACCTTATTGGGGCAACTGTCTGTGCCTTGGCTCTTCTTCCACCTCTCGCTTCTTCACACACTGTGTATTGAAAGCTCCCGACATTTCAAAAGAGTTCATTTATGATGCTGTACACTACTCCAAGGTTCCCAGGACCTTTGAACAGAAGCAGGCCAACAATGTCATAAAGTCTCCACCACAATTAAGAGTGACCATGGGTTGCTCTTCCACCAATTTATTATCTAATTTACAGCAAAGACATCTTGGAGGATTTCATTTGACTGAAGTAAGATAGTGTCTCATGGACCCTAAAACTCTCTATTGGCTGATGTTTTTTACAGCGAGTCTTTGAGATGAAGTCCCTCACCATTTTGTTCACTGAACATAGCGGATACATAAACTTGTCTTCTGCCCTCTATGCCATGTCATAAATATACCCCAGGGATCCAAGACTTTGGGACTTAGTAATCAAAAGTTACTACATACTACATAAGTCAAACAAACTAGAAAAATACCTTTGTTGCATTTTTTTATAGAAACTGTTGGTGAAAATAAGAGAAGCAGGCTTAATTGGGGTTAGGGTTAGGTTTGAAGGATTTCCTAACATGGGATTTTTCCTTAACTCAATACTATATTCAATGTGAGGTTATGCTACTATAATGAAATGTTAATTTCTATACTCTTTTATCATCAGTAGGCCTGAAATGGAGGATAGTTGTGAAGCTGAATCTAAAGGGAAGGCTTCTCAGTGGATCCTGGATGAGTCCAAAATACCGGCATTCCCTCTGACCCTGCTACGAACACAACCCGATTGTGAAGTATACCCAGATTTGCACAAAATCATTCAGGTATATTTTAAATTTTAATAATTTAAGACAACTGATTGATATTTTTTAGACTTTTTCTTCTAGTCAGAACTTTTTACAATTTTTTTTATGTCCTTGGGTTTTAGTTATTTTTGTACATCTGAAATAAAGCTATGTGGGGGATTTTTCTGACATACCTCCTGGCAGTATGGGTGTGCTGTGGTGGTGCAGCGGTTAAGCACAGTCCACATATGGAGGCCTTAGTCCTCGACATGGCCGTCGCAGGTTCGATTCCCGGCCTGGCGGCCTTTGCCGCATGTCTTCCCTGTCTCTCATTACCCACTTTCCTGTCAATTAACTATCAAATAAAGGCCACTAGAGCCGATAAAACCTTTAAAAACAAAACTTCTGGGGGTAAAGCTTCTGCTCTCTTTCAAATATTCTCTGTGCTCTCTCAAATTTTTGTGCTCATGCTGATATTGTCTCCTTGCACATAAAACTTCTCTCTGCACGGATTAATTCTCCGCTCATAAATCTCTCTGCTTGTTTGCAAATTCTTTTCTGCTCTCTATCAAAACAAAAACATACATTGTGTTGTTCCAGCCAATACAATGAAAGTGTTATAATGGGCAGTGGGAACCTCTTTGAGGGTTTGTTTGTTTCCCTCCTGCGGCTCAGGACAGGCAGGCTGCAGCTGTGTTGTAGAGCGCTGTCGCCACAAAAATCTCCAACCACACAGAATAAGAGTCGCTAAATTTATTATTAGTTATTGTTTTGAACAAAAGAGAGAAGTCACTAGAGGAGCATAAAAAATGGATAAACATAGTGACAAAGTGAATAAGTTGACAACAGTGCTGTTCCGACCTGATCACACCCTCACCCATCCCATCTGCTCATCCCCACTCTGCCGTGTCTCTTCACTCCCCCACATTTGCTGGAATTTTTCCAAATTTGCCATGAGCTGAGTTTAGCTTTCAAATATTAGTCACATGCTTTCAAAACAATGTCTGTTGATTTTTAAAAAAAAATCAGTTTAATGGCTTTCTATTAATAACTACTAATGACCTAGTTTATTACAGATATGATCCAGAGAAGGGTTTGAATTTTAGGCAAAATGATTCAGCCCAACTTTACTAAAATAAAGTGACAATGAAACCAACTGTTAAGTCACCACTATGAACTTTAAAGTTGGAAGACAATAAAATCTAAAGAACATACCCCTCTTTAATACGTAGAACAAATAAAAATATTATTAATGTCCACCTTTTACTTTAAACAAGGCACAACTGGAAATGTGAATTTCCATACAATACACAGTAATAACCAAATGTATCCCAGTTAGTTTGTTACTCACAACATCAAGGAGAGGAAAAATGACGTTGCAAGCCTCTTAGAAAGAACAGAGAACATTGAAATTCCCAGAGGAAAACATTGAGACTGTACCAATTCACAAAGGAAAACATTACTCGTTTTGTGCTGAGACGGAGAGGAAGAGAATTTGCAAGTGAGCAGAGAGGTTTGGGAGCGGAGAGTTAGTCCGTGCAGAGAGAAGTTTTGCGTGGGAGGAGAAAATCTGAGCATGAACACAAAGATTTGAGAGCACAGAGAATATTTGAAAGAGAGCAGAAGTTTTGAGAGCAAGTATTTCACATTTGGAATAAAATCCCTCCATAGAGCTGTCATGATCAGAAATTCAAAAAGAAATATGGTATGATAACTTATTGACATGTTTTCACTGAAACCTTATTATTTTGAATAGAAAATGATAGCCTTGACTTGTCTGCCTTGAACTTGAGCTACAGCAAAATAAAAGTGCAATCCCTATCTCCATCTACTAGTTTAATCTCATTTTACAGAGCCATTTCCTCTTCTATGTTGTGAATAATCCACAGTACCAATCACCCTGAGATTGTGAATTGTTATTTCAGCAAGGCTTGAATGTAGTTATAATTCATATAAATTAACTGGTAATGGTGAAAACAGAAGCTTGGCAGGAAGTAAAAATGTTTTTCAGAAATTAAGTTCAAAGTCTGATGTATCAAAATGACAGCACAGCATTATAATTACTGTTTAATCAGAATGACCTTCTGAAGCAGAGGCTATGATACCTATTATTAATGTTTGATGCTTTACCCTGGTCCCACTGTGGCATCCTATCAACCAACAACTTCTAAAGTTGTTTCTTAGCACGTAAGCTGATCTTCACGAGATCTTGCTTGGAGCCCCAGTCTGAAGGAGCTTGAGAATCATTTTGTGTTTCTTCCCTTTTCTTATAATTGTGGCAACAGTTGGTCTCACAAAGCTGTTTGCTAGTGGTCCTGTAGCTAGTGACAGTACATCTGGAGCCAGGCTTCAAAGTGTGAGTCGAGTAAAAAGGGCAGTATGTCCGATGAAGCCCCACTTTGATGCTTGTGTCGTCTTGCTGAGAACCACATGACTAACAAATGATGCCTGGCATTACATTAGACACGTCACTGCTTCGTTTTGCATGTCAGTTTTCTAAACAAAAGTGAAATGAACTTTTGTGCGTGGGCGTGCTCGCATGTTGACACGGACTTATAATTAAGTCCCGGCTCGTGACGGCTCTTCCATCACAACCATGCTTACTCGTGTGTGTGTGTGTGTGTGTGTGTGTGTGTGTGTGTGTGTGTTTTAGGTAGTTTGGTGGCATATCAGCAGACATGGTAGCATCTGAGAAGAATATTTTTGATTAGCAGTACCTAAAATGGAGACTAACCTCTTCTGTCTGAGAGGATCAGAAGCAGAAGTTCCAGAAAGAGAATTTAGAAGAATTCTTGTTTTTCAGAAAGTCACAAGCACCACATGCCAAAGACTCTAAAACGAAATCTAAATCTGTTGTCAAATCAGTCCATGACATAAAAAAAAGCTCAACCACAACGTACAAACTAGTAGGATTACATTAGGCTCAAATCATTTTAAGAACTAAATAATTGAGTAGGTCCAATAGACCCTAATGTTAAGTGGGTTTCACAAAACTTTCTTGTGACATTGCATACTGTTCTAATATTTTGAAGCATGATTTATTTAAGTGACAAGGCTGTCAGAGTTTCAGTGCAGCAGCAGATGTCACTAGAGAGCAATGAATAAATCAGAGTAGTGACCGTTTGGGCAAAGTGATGGACTGGAAAGCCTCTTTGCTGCTTGGTGTTTCATTGGGTCATCACTACCTTGGCCCATCCTAGCCTTAAGGAGGCCTGCAGTTCTGTCTTTGCTGTCTTTAGACAGCTCTTTAGTCTTGCCCTTGGTTGAATGGTTGGAGTAATGAGTTCAAAGTAAGTGCAAGTAATCCAGGTAATGAATGGAGAATATAAAGACTTTCATAAGATAAACTAACAGATCTTTGATAGCCAGAATTCTAGCTGCTTGAATCATTGAATTAAATAATAAAACAAGTATTTCATTAACCAGCTTGAATTAAGTGATTATTTAATTCAAAGAAATCCAAATTAATCATTTAAATATCATACAATGTACTTTTCTGATTTTTTTAAGTAGTTTTTTTCTTATAGTTGAAGTGTACCTATGATGAAAATTAAAGACCTCTCCATTCTTTGAAGGTGGGAAAATTTATTTTCTACACTATAGCTGTGATTTTGTAGTTCTGATGGTACTATCAGATTTTAAAAAAATTTCCATTCTTTTCTGTAACAGCTCTGCAGAATCAGCCCAGACTTGCTAGTATTAAGAGCTTGAATGGAATAGCAACAACCAAATCTATATAATCCTGATTGTTCCAACTGCCATTTGTTGGAAAAATCTGCCAACAAATGACAGTTTGTGGCAGATTTGGGATTATCACAGCTCTGTTAGTCAAAGCCAGTGTTGATTTGCCCATTGTCCATTCATACAGGTACAATTAAAAAAACACATCACTGCAAATTTACTCATTTGCTGCTGTACATCACAACCAGGGATATTTGAAAGCATAATAATAACTGCTCATTGCTACAAGCACAACATGTTTTTGAAGAAGTTGCTAAATTTACTGTTCAGCTGATTTAAGGCTTCTGATGACTGTCACAAGCGTCTGACTTGTCAAGTTACAATTAGGGTCTGTCAGTGTTAACATGACAGCCCTAATGAAACCGAGGACTATCACATAATGCAGATTACACAATCTACCCAGGTTAACCAAAAAGCTTTCTCCAGCTGAAGGTTGCCTAGGTCACTGCACCGTGTTATGAACTCGACACACGGGGACTGCTGAATGACAGAATGATGAAAGTTTTCCAACACAGCAACAAAACTTTCAACATTCTTGTGTTGCGTCGGTAGCCCACTGATGTACATCTCTATGTACCGGCTTGAAATTTCAAATTTCACATGCACAAATCGCTCGGCTGCATGAGGACAAGTGGCTGCTGCCTCATCACACACGTTCTGTAGGGAATGAGTGAAGAGTGACATTTCTAAATTAGCGTTTAAAACAAAATGAGTGTAATATTCATTTGACAATGAATAGGCCTGGAAAACCGAGAATCTTCAGACATTTTTGATTTAAGACATTTTGATTTTAAATGTTCTTACAGTGGTGGTTTTTCATATGAGCTATATGAACAACTACCCATGTAGCCACCAATCAGAAAGGGATGGGGGACACAAGAACTAGAAAGTAAAACATATCCTGTCAGTTGTATCCTGAACAAATTTACTACTAATTGTATGCATGTGTAATTGAGTAAGTTTCCTACAGTTGCCACTGAGTACTGTGAGTCTACATTACGTGCTTTGTGCTACAAAAGAAAAAAAAAATCAAACAATTGCTTGCATTTTAATTGGTTGGAGTGCAGCAGGAGGGGCTTGTACAACTGCATAAATATTTATATTTCAAGCTTAGAAAGCTAGGTACAGCGCCAGAGAGGGATTCATTTGATAAAATCTTTGAATTGATTGACAGCACTAGTTACAATGCCGTATCATCTCTAATGAGAAGCACAGAACATTTTCTTGCTTTTCTTGTTTTTGTCTGGTTTTTCCTGCTGCTGAGGGATCCTGAGGATGACACTCTTATGAGTTATGTTAGCTGATAAACTTGAGTCGTTTGTCATAATTAAGATCTCTACTTGACTCAGTTTCTAATGAACTTCCAAGAACTTCAAAATAAATTTCACCGAAATAAAAATTAATTCTTTAGATACCTCCAAGTCAAAATCTTTATATCAACAAAGCAATTTTGAGGAAAAAACATAATTAAATCAAGATAAAATAAGAGATTGCATAAATATTCAGCCCATTTAATGTGACTGACCTTAATCAACAGAGGCCCAGCCAGCAGAGCTAGTGCTAGTAGTCTCACAATGCCTGGGATGGAGATCACCTGAGTGCTGTGAGAGTGTCTCACTTATTTGAAATTAAATTTCAAATTTTAAATTGTCATAATTTTGAAGAAATCAGTTTTCACTTTGAAATTGTAGGGGTTTCTTTGTCAAATAGTATAATTTTGTTAATTGTGATTGATTTGTAAAAGCAGTAGAAATGGTGTACATTTACAGACACTGTACTGTATCTTAAGTTTTGCAATGTGTAAGGAAGAATCAAATGTCATCCAGATTTCAAGATAATCTTTTTAACAGGACAAGTTTCTGATGATCCTGTCGCAGTATTTTAAAAGTGTACCATCAAACCCATACTACTACTTCTATTTTCCTCTGTCATCCAAAAAAGAGGTAAGTTCTCTTTTTTCATGTCATCATTGAATGATGTAGTCTTGTAAACAGTGAAACAAGAAACTAAGCTGCTTCTGAATGCAAACATACTGTTGAAACCAGATATTTACATGCATCTAATAAAATGATGCATCCATATTTTTTTCTTACTGCCTGAAGTTAAATCAGACCAAATGACTTTTGCTTTAGCTTAATTATTATTACTAAAATTATTATTTTATTAATGATTTTAAAATTATATTAGCTAAATACCAGATATCTTGGCGAGAGCATTTTTTTTTAGAGATTTATTTGTATTATTTCCTTGGATTCAAAAGTTTATATACATTTGGTCAATATCAGGGATAACTGTCTTAAAATATATGACTTGGATCAAACCTTTCCAGTTTCCTTCCACAATCTTCTGATAGGTTAACTGGCACATTTGAATTAATTGTAGTCATACCTGTATTTTAAAGCAGCACCTGAAGCCCACTACTTTCTTGTTTGACACGATGGGAAGGCCATAAGAAATTAACCAAGATATCAGGAAGAGAATCGTGCAGCTGCTTAAGTCTGGTTCATTATTGGGAACAATTTACCAATGCTTTAAGGGCCTGCATTCATATGTTCAAACAATTTTATGCAAGTGTAGATATGATGGGAAGTTCCAACCATCATACCACTCAGTCCAATCTGTGTAGATTGACCCCAGAACAAAAGCCAAAAGCCTAGTGTAGATGTTAGCTGAAGCTGGTAAGGCGGTGTAGTTACTCAGTGAAACGGTCCTGTTCAGACATGGGTGAGGAAAAAATACTTTCTTCAAAAGAAACATAAAAAGCCAGATTGCAGTTTGCAAACGCACACAGGAACAAAGGCTTTCATTTTTGCCAACATGTCCTGTGCTCTGATGTAACTATAGTGGAACTGTTTGACCATAATGACAATTGATACATTTGGAGGAAAAACAGGGATCCTTATTGTGAAGTATGGGAGTCACAGCACCATTGGCTACAGATTGGTCTTCCAAATGGACCATAGCCCTAAGCATACAGTCAATCTCCTTCTAAAGTGGCTTAAGGGCATCTTAAGCCACTTTAAGTTGGCCATCACAGGCCACCATTGGGATTTGTGATGGCCTGATATCAGGCCATCACAAATATCTGGTTTCAACTGTGTTAGATATTATGAATAGAGTTTAGGTAGATGAGTAAAACCAATATTTATTAGCAGTTTTATTTGAAATAAAATAAAACAAATCCAGTTGAGACCTACCATTGGGTTCTCCACTGGTTTCAAGAAGATGACCATTTTCATTGTGAATTCTATACCCAGGTGGAGTCTGAGGATGATGAGACTGAAAGAAGACTTAATGAAGAGCTGGTTTCAGAGACAGAGCCTACAAGTGAAGATGGTGAGTATTCCTTAGGACAGTGTTTCCTAACTCTGGTCCTCAAGGAACACTGCCCTGCATGCATTAGGTGTTTCCCTGCTTTAATACACCAGATTTAGCTGATTGCAAATGAAATGGCCTGGGCTGAAGCACAGTTCAAGGAATTATGGCGAGGTGTTTAGTTTAAAAAGCAGCAAAGCAGTCCCAGATCATCACACTTTTCAACCACCATGCTTGACTGTTGGTGTGATATATTCTCGGAGTAAAATACTACTTTGCTACCAGATGTAACAGGACAGACACCTTCTTAAAAGTTCCTTTGTGATCTTTTCACTGCATAAAATACCTCCCAAAAGATTTGGAAATCATCAGTGTTTTTTTAGTTTGCCTTTGGGATCTTTTGGATTAGTAGTGGTTTTGCAATTGAATTCCATTTTTGTTCTGAGTTTTTTTAAATGGTTTCATGTTAGGACATTTCATTGTTGCTTTTAACAAATATTTGAGCCTTTTTCATGTATACAGGCAGGTTCTATTTAGCTGCTCTTGATTCTATGGGGATGGCAGTAATTAGACGTTGACATGATTTGTGAAATTGAACTCTACCTTCATCAGCATCTTATGTTCATTCATGATTTAACCGGGATCCAGGTTGGTTTTCATAGTTGTTGTTTTTTTGTTTGTTTTTATTTTTTTTCAAAAGCTTCATTTTGTATTTACTCTGGTCATCTTCATCTAATGCTAACATTTCTTTCTTGATCTTAAACATTGATCAAGGAACATCAAATGCTGTGGGAGAAAATGTAACTTTACTATCTGTATATTCTTTTGCTCCAGAGAATGTGTCCGGTTGTTGTCTGATGGAGAGTGACACAGACCTGGTGGTTGAGTATGAGGACCATGTAGGCACCAGCTCACAGGAAGAGGGTGAGGAATGCTCCCAATCCGACTCCAATACTGTCAACCAGGACCAAGACTCCTTCAGCATCCTGGATGGAGAGTCTCTCCTAGAGGCTGAGGGGCCGCAGCTGGACATGCCACCACTGTTTCTTCACGTCACTTGTTCTGTCAACATGAACAGCAGCCATGGTTCTATGCCTATTCAGACTCTTCCCACATGCCTTGGTGAGCATAGATCTGCTATCACAGTCTATTGATATGGGAATAGAGTGATTAGACTTACGTTTTTAGAAGACACAAAAATGAGAATAAGAGAATACACTAACTTTTTTGGATTACTACTATTAGAATTATTTCTTATTAGGTGAATCTGTAACAAGATATGAACATATTACAGTTATTAACTTTAGCAAAATTAAATAAAAACGTTAGTCCACCTCAATAAGAGCAGTATTACATGTTTGTAGATTATAGGGTGAACTTATGTTTGCAAACACTCAGCTTCTAATTTTAGTACCGTCAAGGTTGAGTTTTTTTATCACAGGAAAGAAAAAACTTTGATGTTTTAGACTATTTACTTTTTTTCTACCAGAACATTATGTGGTTGAAGCTTTTAGAGTCATAGTTTTTTATACACTGAACAAAAGTATAAACGCCCCATGTCAAATATAAGAGTTTTATTAACATTTGGGTTATGCAATATATAGAGAAACTCTAAATATATTTTCAGTAATTACTAATCTTCATATCTATCGCCATTTGTAGCAGATAGACAGTCCTTTGAACACGTCAGGTTGAGGAATTAGATTTTTCTCGTAGGCGGTTATGGACAGTCTGAGGTGTGATGCGTCTGTTGTGCAGACCAATAGTCTCGTCAGCTGTGTGTGTCACTGGTCTTAGCTGATCCCGCAGATGGACGAGCCGGATGTGGCGATCCTCAACCTCACCCAACAAGGATGAGGTTGATTTGTAGTAGTGCCAGGCTGTTGGGACATTGAGCCGTGCAGCTACTGCTCTGGTGGAAATCCCTGTAACCAACATGCCAATGACACCCATGGGATGGGAGCTGATGTTTGTGCCTCAGATGCACAAACATCTGAGGCATTATAACTTGTGGCAAAATGTGCCATTTTGGGGTGGCCTTTTATTGTCCCCAGTCCAAGGACTGTCCAGCTGTTGCTCATTTTGTCTGATCATCCACTGGACATGCCCCACTATGCTCTGAGTAAAACAACTTACTGAGTAATGCTCACTGACAGCAAGTTGGGTTAAGAATTATACACAAATCAGGAGAAATATTACTTTTGTACAATAAAATGTCAGCAAATGCTCATTTACAGTTAACTACACATGGCAACAATATTTGACATGAGGCGTTTATATTTTTTGTTCAGTATATTTAACGCCCAGACCTGATCGTCAGTATTTCAGTTTTTTAAGATGATAGTACTCAGCTGGGAAGTTTAAAATGTTGCTGCTTTTCTTACACTTCTCAACTTGAATGCTGTGTTTTCAGGTGAGATTATCTCCTGTCTGGATAACGTGGAGACATTACAGTCTGTTGATCTGACTGAGCTTTCAGTAACTCTGGATGTGTTTGTGCTGACTCTGCCTCTGGAAATTGAATTCATGGCTGATTACCATCATAACAGGTCAGTGGAAGAGAGAGCAAAAGCCTGGATTTTTCAAGAGCTAGGAAACATTTATTACCCATGAAAGCTGAAATTTTTTTAAAGATATTTTCTGTCTATGGCACACACACACACACACACACACATATATATAATTTTTTATTTATTTATTTTTTTCACGTAAAAATGTTTGTTCAGAAGAATTAAAAAGGAAATGGACTGTTCCCCCACAATTTTCTGCATTCAGTTGAATTCAATTAAAGAATAATTTATCTATCCCAAAGGGTGATTAAATGTTTCTGTAACTCATTTTAAATAATAATTCATTCAGGTACACCTCAGAGAGCAGTGTTTCCCTGAATCGTTCACCAGGACAGCCTTCTTCCTATCGCTCTGATGAGGAGTTGATGACGGTGTTGGACAATCTCAGGGGAACTGATGATGAAAGGTTCATTTTTTCCGTTCATTTTTTTTTTGTAACACAACATGACATTGCTTCTATATAATTCTGACTTATTCAGAATCTCTTCTATGTATCTGATATATATATATATATATATAATGTTGTTGTTTTGTTGTTTTTTTTCACTTAGGGTCTCTGGCGATCCCTTATCCAAATTTCCTCTTCCTCACAAATTAGCAATTCTGGCCACACTTGATGAGGTGAGCTCTGTTAAAACAAACATTAAATGCTGTGGAAGAACAAAGTCGTTTATACTCAACAGCTGAACAAATACCCTAACAGTTCACATCTGCATTAGGTGTAGTTAGGTGTTCAAGAAAGTCAGTGGTGCTATGGTTGGAATTGTTCAGTTGTTTATTTCTTTATTTTTGAATGTTAGTTCCATGAGTGTGTCCAGGCATGATTCTGTTCCTATGTCCTCTGTACAGAGTACATGTATATACAGAGTACAACATTTTTTTGTTCCCCATGTGCTTCAGATCCGCTGGCTGCTGGAGGATGAGATTGTTTCTGCTCTGTGTCACTCTCGGGTCATCAACTCAGCCACACTGCTGAAAGTCGCAGAGCATGTTTTACGCTCCAGCGGACGACCACACTGCCACTGTGAAGATGTTCCGCTTCAGTTTGTCTTCGGACCGGAGCAGTCACTGGAAAAGTTCAGAGAGGCAAGACCATACAAAGAATCTTAGTTAATAGGATTAATATTTCTTTAAATGTCAGTGTTAGTAGCCATATGCTCTGCATATGAAAAAGCCACAGGTGCTGCTTTTGGCCATAGTTTCTAATCAACAGAATGAATAAAAGCAGTTCTTCAATGCTTTATCCAAAATATAAGAAGCAACTTCTCTTTGTTTCTTCTGTTTTGTGTGCGAGACCTTTTTCACACACACACACACACATACACACCTCTTTTTCCACACTGAAAACATACATACTAGATAAATAATGCGATTTTTGTTACACGTCCTTGTTTTCTTGAAAAAGCCATCTGCTCATATTGGTTAATATTTCTTGTGCAGATATTTGTCCTCAATGAGTTTCCTTTATCTTTTAATAAATAATATTGCAAAGGACAGCTTGTACATTATACAAGCAGTCAAACAGTAGGCTTCCATGGGTGGTAATTATATCAAATGTAAGACCCTCACTTTAGCCATGTAAATTAATTAAGAATTCAACATTCCGCCAAAGTACAGATTGATGTAAGATCTACTTCTAGTGGTACTTTATTCTCTTTGTGTTAAAGTATAGTCAGTTTTTTCTTCAATACAAAAAGGAACTATTTCAGTACAGATGTTGTATGCCATAGCAGAAGTGAATATACATTTTCTTTCATGAAGAATTAACATTGTTTTTCTGCTGGACCTTGGAGTGAGAAATGAATGAGTACAGAAAGATGACGTCTGATGGGATGTTATCTGATTGTGCAGGAGTTCTGCAGATTGTCATTCTCTGGCTACATTTTGAATGTAGTGCAGGAAAACTTCTACTACATGTCCCTGAGTAGAAATCACCCACAGAGGATCCAGGCCACAAAGAGGTTATCTGAGACGACCACAACCTCACCGCAAGACAACGATAGACGTCACATAGAACCTATGATGCTGGAGAGTGAACTGGAGTCTGGAAACAACAAAGAGGTCAGACACTTCGTTTCTTTTCATTAAGGAATTCTTATCACTGTTTGACAAGCCATTGTAAACGTATATATATATATATATATATATATATATATATATATATATATATATATATATATCCTTTGCATAAACAATTAAATTAAATTGAAAAACAAAGTCTTTAATATGATGCTTAAAATCCACTTTCTTAAGGTTGGGGTCAGGTTTTAAATTTTTAGGCTTTTAGTTTTAAGAGGCATGGACGTTTTCAGACAGTTAAAATCTATCCCATATTATCGAAAGGCTCACAATCAGATGTTTAGTCAAAATGGTGGCGTCTAATGATCTCTTTATTCTGACTCGACCAATGAAATATTTACTTCATATCGTTTAATGGCAGTTGTGTTAACTTCAAGATGCCTACCAATCTGTGGATCAGGGTTATGTGGAAGATCAGTCAGTTCAGTTCAGTTTATTTATATAGCGACCAATTTACAACAAATGTCATCTCAAGGCATTTTACAAAAAATCATATTGATTCAATCACACATATATTCCAAATGATTCTTGTTATTGGACTGCTCAATAATTAGTCAAAATACTGTAAAACATTTCTGTCCAAGGCTGCGGTTCTTAATTACTTTCTCTCAAGCTCCCCTAGAAACAACAAATGTTTTCACTCTCTGCCCAAAGTAAAGATATTTAATAACTTATCTTTACTAACCGCTGACTCCAAATTCAATGACCCAAATATCAAAACTGCTGAAATAAGTGGTAGTTGTTCATGGTATTGTTTTAGTCTAAAAACAATTTCCAAGCTTAATTTACAGTCAGTAACATTTAATCACGACTGCTCAGTCTGTAGGATTCTCAACAGAACAAAAGTGCACATCATCAACTGGGATATATATTTTTTTGACTAACAGTAAAACTTTTTAAAATTTGTAAAAATTATTTGTCAACTGCTTCAGCTTGTTTTTCAAAACGTGTGGTTTTTAAACAAAAATTGTGTGCAAAATTTGAAACGGTATTGTTTCTATTCCAGCTTGTCAGAGGAGATAAAAAGTGCTTAACATTTTGCATTTACAGCTTCATCTATTTACTGGTGAAGTTTTTCGTAATATTGAGGGTTTGTAAAGGTATCGTTGGTATTGGTTTGACAATACCAGCGATACCCACTAATTGAGAACTACTGATCTAAGGGAACCCAGCAGATTGCAGTCCAGTTTTATAAAAGTCTAGTTCATTTATTTTCTGAAAAAACTCACTCTTCCACACAAGAATTTACTAATAACTTGTAGCATCTCAAAGAACCACCAGTAACAACAGTTGGTCTTAATTCTTTAGAGCTTTATATATGAGAAGAAGAATCTTATGTTCAACAATTTGTTTGTAAAACTTCAGACCTGGAGACTTGGATTAAACATATTTATGTGATAAAGACAAATATTTCACAATCTCCATCCATCTCCAGAGTGAAGACAGGAAGACCTTCAATCTTCACACAGATGCTTATGGGGACACAACTGCTGCCGAAGCCGGAGAAACAGTCCAAGCCAAGAAGCTAGACTCTGAAGATATTTCTAGTACAGTGAGGGACCGGAGTCAGCCTAGTCCTCTCCAGCCCGATTCCTGCAATCCTGAGTCCAGTTCTCCTCCAAAAACAGCATCCAGTGTCAGCCTGTCTGATTCTGCTCAGTCAGCCTCTCTGTCTCACAGTGAGTCTGACTGACGCATTTCACACGTTTTGCTTTTTTTTAACAGCTTTTAAATAACATCATGAACCTCTTCAAATTCAGCCATGAAAGTTGGAACACTGAACCTTCTTTTTCTCTTACCCTTGTCTCTGCATTTCTGCTCTCCCACTTCAAACAGATCACCCAGAAATGTGCTGTGAGAAATTCTAAGATTGAAATCCCAAAACAAACATGACAGAGTGGCGGTGCTTTTAGCAGCAGCACTCCAGCTGCTGCTAAAAGCACCGAATCAAAAATAATTGTCTACATTTTGTGGAAAAGTTTTGAATTCAACTTTCCTTAGTAACAACTTCCAAACCAAAGAGTTTCAATAAACTTGATCTGTTGGAACTCGGGTATAGTACGTTTACTGATTTGAAAATATGGGGCTTTTGAATTTTGACTGTCTAGTCAAGCTGAAAATTGTTTGTTTTATTTCAGAGTTTGGCGTAAATAGCCATCTATCAAGCTCCTCCCTGTGACATTGACAGAAAAGTAAAATGGATCAAATCTTGTTCTCAGGTTGCAGCAGACTGAGGCCGAGTCGTGTCCAGAGTGTCGTCTCCAGCCAGGGCAGTCTGGACTCAGACATGCAGGGTATGCTCCTGCCACAGCTGAGTTATGCTTGATACAATATTATTTGAGTTTTGGATTTAGTGTGTTGCTGATGGCTAACTGATTGTTTTATATTGTTTTAACCATTTATTGGCGGCAAGTCAATATTATGGCTCCAAATAACACAATCTATTTTTTTTTAGTTTACACTTGCTTCTAAAACAGAAACAAGTACAACCCACATAAAAATACATCATATACCAAATGCCCACTACAGATTTCTTGTTTGCTTCTCTGTCAATCTTAAACGTCTCATAACATCAAACTCATTTTCATATCAAATTTTTGTCTGACCACAGCAAAAGTAGAAACAGTTTTCTCAGCGGTGTTTTGAGTTATTTGCAAATTCTAAAAGTATGGATCCCAAGACTTCCAGTGCTGTCAAACACATGGAAAAAAGGAATGAAGATGTGGCCATTTGAATGTTGGAACTCTTGGTTCTAAAATTTAGATAAAACTGCTTTCAAAGTTTTCCCTAAAGCTGCTTTGCAACCTGGGATTGTTAAGAGAGATTTTTTATTTATAATACTGTACATTAGTGGGAAAAGGAATAGCATGTGAGGATTGATTCCTGGTGTAAACAACAGCATCATAAGTGTTCAAGCACTCTCAGGACACAATTAAAGTTGAAAGAGCAAAGAAAACCAAAGTTAACCACAAAGCTCAGTTTCATCATCCTCAGAAGACGCCCACGGTTATTGTAGGTATTTAAGGGATTCTGTTTGAAATGGAATTGATGTCACTGTTGTGTTTTTGTGTTCTAATGAAGGTTATGATGGCGGAAGCAGTGACTCTGAGTCTGAGAGTCCTGTCCCTGATGATCAGGAGGGTCAGTCACCGTCAATGCCAGACTTCTGGCTCATTGTTAACATCCATAAGGACAGAGTGAAGGTGTACTCTCATGCCAGGTCAGAATAACTGTCAGTTATTATCTGTAGCTTCTTTGTGTAAATTTGTTCCTTTAGTTACCTGATCTCAGATCCTGATACCAGGTTTCCCCCCCAGAAAACTGGCTAATCCCAGTGGTGGCAGCGCTAGGGGAGTCCACCAGGGGCAAAACCGTATTTTTATGTTAAAACATGTCAAAAGTTGTCAGCACATATGAAAATATGACTAGGTCACTATGTGTTATTGGAAGACTTTATATTATACATTATATTATACTTTGTCACCTGTATTGACACCAACTGTAGCCTTAAAAACAGAAAAACTCAAAAAATGCAATTAAAATAAATAGCTATTATTGGCATGCCAGTTAAATCCTAATGAAATAATTAGCCAGTTGATCTAAGAACCAAGTTTGGTCTCACTTAAAAGTAAAATAAATGAATATTGCATCAAGGGCACTATGACAAGTATTTGTATGCTTAGCTAAATGTTCTGAAGGTACAAAATTCATGTATTTATTGTAAGTTTTCTCGTGTCTTCCCAAATCCTCATGCATAGTGCAGTGTTTTGATTTGCTGGTTGGGATTGCTTATTTATCCAATAAATGCACTGCTATCACTGTTTCTGGTGTATATATCATAAAACTGTTCAAAGTAAATAAACAAATGGAGCATGTGTATCCACTGGGGGAACCACTGCTGGTGGTTCTCTAGGTAAGAGGAAATTTTGAAAAATGTGAGGGCTTTTTAAATGTTTTTACTTCCATCAACAAAATGTGATTCATATTTTCCTCTTCTAAAGATGAGGTGTCTCTCTGTCATTGTCTAGGTTAGTAATGGAATTTAAGCAGTATATGTGGAGAAAACAAAATGTTGCTTTTCTTTTGGGATATTGGACAGTTTGCTATAGATATTTGAAGCTCTGACTTTCTTTGAATTAATTAAAAAACATTTTTTCCAGATCCTTGAGTGAAGAAAAAGAAGTTGACGTGGAGCAGCTAGAAAGGAAAGTCGATGAACACGAGCTTCCTGAATTCTTAGAACTGCATCAAACAGTGGTCCGGAGGATTGGTGAAGTTTGCAGGATTGTAAATCAGGTGGCTTTAGTTGTTACGTCTTTACACTATTTTGGATTAGGATTTATTGCATGTCATTTTATCTTTTTGATAAAATTCCTCCACCCTGAGTATGCACAGAGTAGCAGATAACAGTCCAGAAAAGTACAGCTGGAAGTTGTTGTCATTCAGTTATCAAAATTCCTTGAATGCTTTAAGCAGATTGGTTTAATAGAATCCTACTTTTATTGTTTTTGGTATGTTTTAGCGCATGCTGCTCCAGGACCTGCATGATAGCCATGTATGTAACACACTGTTGGTGGCAGAAAGTGAGGAGGATATCTGGAAGAATGACTCTCTCTTCAGGCAAAGGCAGAACACCACTGATGGTGAGTGGCAGATAACATTAGTTTTCTCAGCCCTTACAGTTTCATTTGTGGCTCATTTAAAATATGATGGTTGGGATGTTTCTCTGACTTGATAAACTTGCAGTCATATAAAAACTGAAGTATATGTATTTTGTGTGTATTTTGTTCAAACCACTCAGACTACAACACAGAGGAGAGCTACCAGGCCAGAGATTACTTGGCAGCCACCATGCAATTTATCCCTGGGCATTTTGCATGCGACGTTGTGTGGAGTACAGTTATCCACATCCATCCACGCCTCAAGATGGGCCCCAACATGGGGGTGTCCAGGGGTGAGTTGGAGATCCCTGTATTTTCTAAAGTGAACAAAATTGTGAGGAACATGTATATGTTACAGTTTTACAGTTAGGTAGACATACACAGATGAATGGCATTTTCATTTTAGACATGAAAGTTATACCCACTGCTCAAAAAAATAAAGGGAACACTCAAATAACACATCCTAGATCTGAATGAATGAAATATTCTCATTGAATACTTTGTTCTGTACAAAGTTGAATGTGCTGACAACAAAATCACACAAAAATCATCAATGGAAATCAAATTTATTAACCAATGGAGGCCTGGATTTGGAGCCACACACAAAATTAAAGTGAAATGTTCCCTTTATTTTTTTGAGCAGTATATATAAATACAGTTCTATGAATCCAGAATGAATACCAGAGGATGGTGCTGAAAGCACTGAATGTTCCCTGTGTGTATTCACCATTCAAGTAATAATATCATTAGAATCACACCTGTGACGCATCGGATGATTACTCAGAACATATATAGCCTTTCCCCATCCAAGGCTCTGTTCCTACAGAATCTCTGGCTTCCTGCAGCTTTGGTTTGGCAGATGACATCCACATTCAAATGAGCAGAGCCTTGTTAAGATGTCTGCCAAACTCAATGCGTTGTGTGTTGTTTTAAAGACAAAATATAGTCTGCCATTGACTCACCCTAATTTTGGTTCCTTTTTTGAAAACGGAATCTCTCCACATTTGTGATGGGTTTTGGCTTATAGTGATTAGGGTTAGGGTTACAGTTACTAGTAAATGAATGCGATTGGTTTATCAGGGCTCAGCAAGTTTTTTAAAAGTCTGTATGTGTCTGCTCCTATTGCAGCAAGGAAAACACTGAGCTATCGTTCATCTGGCACATCATTTGCAATCATCCATAGCTTCAATTTTTTCAAGCAGGATTCAAAATCATGTTGTCCCTCTCTGTACTCTAGTATTTCTCCAATTTGGAATTTTGCCATGGATACACACAGTCCCATCCACTTCTCACTTTTTGTTAGCCTCTTCCTGATGAGAGCTACAAGTTCTGGGATTTACTTTTCTCAGAGATGGTCTTACAATAAAGTCATCCCATCCTCATTCCCACTGTAATATACTCAGGTTCTTTTCTAATACTTTACAGTCGAGTTGCCAGCCTCGACTGGAACAAGCGTATTTTGATTGCATATGTGAAAGCCAAGCTGACTGGATACCAAACTATAGCACAGGGCATTCTGGGTAAATACAACCAAAACAAATGCACTTGTCTACTGCCAGAGGGAGAAATGGCTTGTGGTCTATTGCCAACAACAAAAGAGAGATCCTTCAATATGCTCAGTAACACGTAACCTAGCATATTACGAAGAAAAAATGTAGGTAACCCTATGGGTAGATTGTGACGCTGCATTAGAAATAATCATGTTGCTGTGATCATTTGGAATTCCACTTCCTACATCAGGAATGTTACCTGAAGGTTGTAACTATTTTCTCACAAAATTTGTTCTTTGGTTTTCACTACATTGTCAGAATTCATGTTGTTTGTTCTAAACACATCTCTTTGTTCCTCTATTACAGCTATCCAGGCCCTTCGCTCTGTGCTGAACTCCTTCTCTGTAGTTAATAGAAAGAACATGTTTGTCTACCAGGAGCGCACAACTAAATCAGTCTTCTACCTGAGGTGAATTTTGTGGTTTTACAGTATTTCCCACTGCATTTTTTGTGTCACCTTGGCTTGCAAAGCATATCTTATATGTAAATGTTATTTTTGTTTACCTGATAAGAGGAGATCACTGTGTAGGATAACTGAAGGATGACTGTCTCGACATGTCAGCCAGCTGCAGCTGCACTGGCACTATTAAAGCGGTTTCCTCCGTTAACACTGGGGCCAGTTCTGTTCAGAGCTCCAAGATGATTACTCTGGGCAATCTGAAGGCTAATAAACCGCTCATCATTAATAAATCCCAGCTATGGTCTACCTTTGAATCCATTGACAATATCCTCCAGCAGAGCCAAAGCTGACATCACAGCTACATATATATGTATATACTTGTACGTTAAAAAGTTTGCAAACCGGGATTGTTGACTTCATTTAAAAATGATAGACTGTAAGAACTAAAATATACTCCAACCCCTACCCACTCCCAAAGAAGCCTCTTATGGTGACCACTTCTTATATAAATGAATTAGAGATTTAAAACTCTCTAACTCCAGTTGAACCCCTGTTGTGTACCTCAGGCACAACTCCTCTAGTGCCTGAGCACAAAAGGGGGATGGACATAATATACATGTCTCTTTGGTGTCAAAGAGATAGAGGCATGTTTACATTTAGGGAGTAATGTCTTTGAGAAAACCAAAAAAGAACATTCACTCCATATAGTTCTGGAGTATCTCTTAGCTTCCTTTAGCTTCTGCATGTGGCAGGTGTTTAATGTGATTTTTATAGATTTTAAACTATGAACTAAAATTCTAAAAAAAGTGCTGCCAGTATTGTGTTAAGGCAACTCATGATGAAAACTTATATTTGGCTTGTGTTTTTCTCCAAAGACTCTGTGAAACCTCACTAAAAGGCAAGTACTCAGACCTGGATGGAAACCTGCATCCAACTCGCTCAATGGGGCTCATTAGAAGTCAAGAGCCTTTATATCCTGAAGACATAACGGTAAGAAAACGTATAGTACTTTAGTATCTTTATTATGACATTTTCAAATCGCTACTTTTGGTTTTGCATACTGTTTTTATCTAAATCATAACACAGATAATCTTATATCTAAAGATTTATTCAGGAGGAATCTAATTCAGATATCTTTCACAATGTTTCTTAATAAAACAACATTATGAACAATATTTTTTGGGAAAAAAAGAGTGTCTCAGTTTACCCTGTGACAGACTGGTGACCTGTCCAGGGTGTACCCCGCACACCCTATTGCTGATAGGCACCAGCACCGCTAGGGGAAAGGGTGTTAGAAAATGGATGGCTGTGTCCAGGGGCGCCGCCAAGAATCTTGGGACCCCTGACAAAAAATGTGGGTAACACTTTATTTGAAGGGGGATGAATAAGACTGTCATGACACTGTCATAAACATGAATAAGTCTTCATGAG